ATGCCACCAGTTCCCCAAGATCTCTTTCTGGAGATGTGTTATGAAGCGGTTCGTGGGAATCCTCGGTTCGCGGTTCCAGGTGTCATGGGAAATGGAAATTTCGTGGGGAAAGTTCTCTGAGGTGCGAACGCGGACTGGGTTCCACCCGAAGGTAAGGGTGCCCTGTACCTCCGACCTTTGCTAATGGGCAGCCAGGTACTTAGCGACGCCGTTGTATGGTGAGGTTTCTGAAGCTGACACGGATGGTGCATGAAACAACTGCAGCAACACCTACAACTACAACTACAATATCATCAACAACAATATCATTATCATCAATAATAATACCATTACCAATACCAATATCATTATCATCGTCAACAACAAGTTCAGTAAAAATACCCTCTGGTAAACTAACATAACTATGGGAAATCACCATTTTTAATGGGTAAATCAACTATTTCTATGGCCATGTTCAATAGCTATGGAACAAATTATCAGAGGGTAACAGCAACAATGCCGGAGACATCGGGGCGACATCCTGGCTCTAAGGTGGTGCGGCCTTGGGCGTTGGCGCGGGCACCGAGGTTTGGCAAAACCCCAATAGCTGGATGGTTTAGTTCATGAAAAATGATATTAAAATGATTTAAAAGGGATGATTTGGGGGTAGCCCTATTTATGGAAACCCCCCATATATAACATAATAAATGTATATATATATATATATGTTTTTATTTAAGTATACATATATATATATAGGTGTATATATATAAGTATATATATATATACACATATATTGACATAGATACAGACATAGATATAGATACACATGATACACATGTATGGCTTCATGGATCAAAAATGATTCAGCGCCAAGGTCCCAGTTCAGAGTTCACCTTCGTGATTTATGTGGCGCCCGTTGGTAGGTGACCGGAAGATTTGGATGGGAATTTGGAGGGGAATCCCCAATTTGATGCTTGAAATAGGCTTGAAATGTTAAGATTAGATGGTTTCTGTTGGAAATTGTCCATTGAAAAAAAACACTTGAAAAATTGGGGGCTGCAAGTTGAAAATTGATGATGAGACTGTGCAAATGAGAGCTGAGCTGGTGAAAATATGGAATGCGGAAAGCCAGCTAGCTGCACCGTTTGAATGCCCTTTGGCACATCTTTTGTTCGTGTCGTTTCAGCATGAGAATGGCGTCACAAATTGTGGCATCATCGCAGGGTTTCCTGCGATCCCATCACCAGTTTCCAGTGGCTGAGACCTTCTGGGTTTCCAGTGGCAGATGTTTTTCATCCTCATTAACCATGGTTAAATGATGGTAATAAATGGTTGATGATGGTTAATGATGGTTTTTCATCCCAACTCTCCAAATCATGATTTTGAACATCCCAACATATCACTAACTCAGACTAACTCATCATTTTGACACCATTTTTCCAGAAATTCTCCTGCAGTTACTTTCCCGGTGGTGCCCGGCTCCGCGTGGAAACCAACCATCATCGAGCAGCAGAGATGGGCGTGGGATATGTGAAGGTCCCCCGTTTCGGGTCCGTTTACCTTGGAAAAGCCATGGGTAAAAACCTGGGATCCAAGGGAAAAACCATGGGAAAAAGCCTAGTTCCAAGAGTTCTCCCAGAATTTCCTGTTTTTGGGATGAACATCCATGAGCATCCAGATAGTTTGATGCGAAAAACCAAAAAAGGCCAACATTTTGATCCGATGGCTGACCGATGGGAAGCGCAAAGTTGTCTCAGTACTGACATCACCCGCGGTGCAGGAGATTGGGCAATTGTTGGTGAATGATACCCTCTGGTAATTTAACATAGCTATTTGAAAATGGCTGTTTATAGCTGATTTACCTACTAAAATCTACTAAAAATGATGATTTTCGATATAGTTTTTTGCTTGTTTACCGGAGGGTAGATGTTGAAACACAACGCATTTGAAACCTGATTTGTGGCAGAAGGGGATTCATTCGGAAGACTGGGCCACTTGAGTTTGGCTGCACAGGCAGCTGGCAACTATGCGCCAGGGCCCTAAGATGATCCTTAAAATGGTCATCCTTTGGGAGTTTCTGGTGGAAACCCCTTGGAAAATCCATTGGAAAATCCATATTTTGGAAACCCGTTGGAATCATTGAGGACTTGAACTTTGGGATGTGAACCCACATTTTTCCCACGGCGAAAGTCTTATCTCAGAGGCCCTGCTTTCTACCGCAGAAGGACGCCAAGGAGAAAGGCGAGAAAAGTGGGTCACCCTTCCATGGGGTTTTGTAAAATATCGATTCAGAAAGTTTCTTTCTAGGTAAAAACCTCGGGTTTTTTTTCTTGGATATGTTTTGTATTGTTATCCAAACATCTTGGAGAACCAGCCTGAGTGCATGTGGCTCGTATGGCTCGAAGCTTCAGTGAAACAGCTTTTCAAAAACTGGATCTTGTCATGTAAGTTACGAGCATCAAACTGAACTTGCCTTGAAAAGTCCTTGAAGTTGAGCAGTCATGCTTTGCATCGATTCTCCAGTGGTCTTGCGATGTTTTCCATGTCCAAACTTCACAAAATATGCAGAATCTCCCGAGAGAGCACCATGGAACTCAAAGGTCGATGCCAAAACGAAGCAGTAAAAAGTTGATCTACCGCCCTGAGCCTAGTAGCTTCCAACAGGTTTTCCAGATCAGAATGATCAGAATCAGAGTGATGGGATTTTTGGTCAAGTTGCATGAAACTGGAAGATTCATTTTGAACAGAATGATGTCATAATGATGTCATAATGATGTTTGATGGTCAGCTTTCAAGGTCCACTTGATTTATCTTGATTTGGGATATCGGCAGAACAAAAAAAAACGCTTTACGGTGCAATGCTGCGAGCCACGCGGCTTCGGCCATTGGCGCGAACTGTGCTAAGCGCACGATGCTGCGGTGACGTTGCCGTGAACGAGGCCAACGGAACAGATGGGGATCCCATCCCGACGGCTTTGGGAAGCTATGGCAGCTATGGATCCCGTATTTGGGGTTTCACCCCGAGCTGAGCTGTTGATCGCTCACCCCCCACAAAGAAATCCTGGGTGATGGTGATGGGACCCCATTGTGACAGTCACTATTTGAAGTTTGGTAAATTCTCCACTAGTGAAGTTCCCAGAAGGAAATCCCCAGTTTTGGTGAAATCGCCAGTGGTGTGAAACCCCTTTTCGGAAAACAGGTGAGCCCAAGTCATTTCTTTAAGTTGCTTCAGTTTCAGCCCATCCATTTATAGTATTTATAAATATAAAAATGGATCATCACTATAAATATGGATTCCCATTATTTATATGTATTTACATGAAATCCAGTTTTGAATAGAGTTTCAGCATCATCTTTAGCGGTGAATTCCCGGGAGGCTTTAGAGCTGATTCCCTGCAACGCAGTCGATCGCTATGGCTCCGGCGATGCGGTGGTGAAGCTTTCGGTGAGCGGCGTCTGAGATCATACCGGGTTCGGTCGCGTTTTCTCGGGATAGATATATAGATGTATATAGATGTATATAGTATATATCATAGGATACATACACCTTGAGATACATGTGCGTATCGCAAAGATTTTGATGTGCCAAAAACTGTGGCACTGATCTTCAATAAAAATGGTGGATTTGGAGGAGCCGATTTTACGACAAAGCCTGCTGGGAATGGATGACACCAAACACGCGGGATTTCGACACCCCCAGGAATGTTGGTCGCTTGGATCACTGTGATGGGATTATCCCATAGATACCAGATGTAAGTACATTGTAACCATGTATATAACCATACATACATTACATTACATTACATTACATTACAGACATACATACAGACATACATACATACATACCATTACATTGCGTTGCGTTACGTTACGTTACGTTACATTACATACATATACATATATATATATACATATACATATACATATATATATATATATGAGCCCGGTCCCGGACCCCCACACCCCCCCCCCCCCCCCAATGGTATCCCCCCCCCACTCCTAACCCCCCCACCCCCCCAAAACCTAGTATTTGCACGTTATTTGCACACATACACACATATACACATATATACTCCCCTTTCCACCCTTCCAACCTCGCATCTCTACGTTATTTGCAGCACTTGAGAGCCACGACCTCGTCAACGGACCTTGTCTACCTGTATATTTCTATCATAACCTTTTTTTCGAACCGCCTATAGCGTGCCTCGCACATGTTTTACAACATATTTGCTACCTATGGATTACACAAAGCTTGCCTATGCAAACCTAGACATATGTACAGTAGAAAAACAATAAATATATATAGATAGATAGATGCACATTCTAGATACTACATATTGATATCTTGATCTTGTATCAATCACATATTTCGTTTACATTGTACATACTGTACATATATATATATATATACATATGCATACATATATATATATACATATACATATATACATAAAATCTAGATATACACCGTGTATTGCTGTCGATATTCAATATACCACATATACTATGTAAAATTTATTCATCGAACATATTTACCTATATTGTAAATATTACATCTACTGTGGATACAGTACATGTGGCATATACTATCTATATTCTATCAAAAACCACATATACGATGTATGTATATATATATATATGTTCAATATATATATATATATGTCAAATATATATATATATATTATATTATATATATATATAGATTGCATATATTCTATTTTTATCTTACATATTATATATATGTTTATATATATATATATTTACACTACACATACACTCTATATTACATATAGTATATCCATTCTAATTATCGATACATATGCATTATATGCACTATAAAGACTACATACACCATGGCTTGGCTGCTGAGAAAACCCCCCCTCCCCTGCCACAGGGGGGGGGGAACCATCTGGCTGGGGGGGGGGTGTGGGGGTCCCTGCTCATATATATATATATATACATACATACATACAGACATACAACCATAATATATATATATATACAACCATCATATACATATAACCATATGTAGAAGCCATGACCCATAGTCCAGGTGAATGGCCACTCCCTCAGGCACCAAGTTCCTCACGTTGCGCTCCACTTTGTCCCACAGCCCCGTGCTCGATGCCATCGTGCAACGTGCAGGTGACAACGAGGCCATCAGCCATTGATTCCATTGATCTGGCAAATCCCCAAGGTTTTTCAAATGTGACAGGATCTCTCCAATGAGGGTGCCATTTTCATCGATCGCGTCACTTGGTGACATTAAAATGCTGGGAAAAAGCCATTCGATTGCGGTTTATCCATATTCAGAATATCAGGCCATGATTTCAAGTTTCTATTCAACTTTCCTACTTGATAGATCCAGTTAGTTTCAGCTATTTCTGTTTCAGTGCTGAGGATCCAAAGCATTTCCAGATCATCCTGAACCACCTAAGAAGCAAAGCAGAGGGACGTCAGAGCTTCAAGAACCCCTGCGTCCTTTCGTGCAAGGACAGAGTCATTGCTCAGGTACTCCTGTTTGGGAAAAGGGTTGGGAAATGGGTGGATGGTGTAGACTTTCGATCGACGTCCAACTACTGGCTATCCAGAAAGTCGTCCGATTGGATTCAGCGGAAAAGATCAGAAGACCAGCAGTTTTTTTAGCGTTGAAGGACTCGCATGCGGTGTTGCTCCCCAAAGACCCACGAGATTTGCGCGATCTCTTCATCGAAGCTGAGCATTTTGGACTGCCAGAACTTCGAAAAAGGCCAGAAAGTCTCAAAAAAAGCTGGCTGCGGCTGGTTCTATTCTAGTCGATGAACTGAACCGTTGGATCCAAATTGGACCACAGAAACACATCATTCTTGGGGCCATTTCTTTGGGTAACTTCGACCCTGCTGGTGGCTGTCGCAGGATCTTGGCAAAGCGGAAGATCGCCCAAATGCTCAGCGTTTTCTCCTCAAGCGCAGGCCGCTTTTTTCTAATGTGGCAATGGGAAATCCCGAAAAAACATGGAGCTGTTTTCATGACTACCCATGGTGCGCAACTCCACTTTCAAGAATATTGATGGATGAGTTTGAACGGTTGTTGCTAGGTATAATTTTGGGCTGTTGCTGAACATTGATGGATGAGTTTGAACGGATGTTCATGAAGTGTCATTTTTCATCAATGACATTTCATTGACCCTGATCATGTGTTTGCTGGAATTTCACGACTGCCCCCACTGCCCCCACTGCCCCCACTGCCACCACACTTTAGTGGATGCTGATGCAATTAGAAAACAACACGTTGACGATCTGTTGATTCATCATGATCAGTGTGATTATATATCAATCCTTGTTTTCATGACTAGTCATTGCCAGAATATAAGAATCGTCAAGTTCAAATAATGACAATGATGATAGTGATTATTTTTAATGATTATTAACTTAACATATTATTTTCAAAGTCATGTTTCATCATTGCTGGGCTGGCACTGCCACTACATATTGATAGATATTGATCTGTCTCCCAAAGATCAACAATATCCTCTTCCCATCCCCATGGCGTCATGAATCCTATTTATTGATTATGAATTGATCATCAATGGGAAATATTACTATGGTCAAATTGTACATGGAAATATAGAACTTTTACTATGGGAAGATCTGATCATCTTCCCATAATCCCAAAAAATATCCGATGGTAATCATCGAAGTCAATTTTACTTCTCCCATTCCCATTCGATCACCATTATCATCATCAACAATCATCAATCAATAATTAACATTTATTATTTCATGATCAATACTTCGTCATGGAATATTATGGATAATCATGGCTGAACAACATTGGATATCCGTGTATCATGTTCCAACAATGCTTCACACATATTACATAATTATCATCAATCAATAGTTGACAATACCTATACTATTTTATGATCAATAAATAATCATGGATAATCATCACACCTAGTATTGATCATCAATGGTATAACATAGTATTTTCAGCCATTCATGATTAAGCCATCACACACAGTATTAACAACGGCTTTACCCTCTGGTAATTTAACATAGCTATTGAAAATGACCATTATAGTGGATTTTCCCATTAAAAAATGCAATTTTCAATAGCTATGTTAAATTACCAGAGGGTAACAATGGCTTCATTAAAAAAAAAAAAAACGCCGAGGCAACCCTTTCGACCTGGCGGCGCGGTCTTTGACGATGCTCCGCTCCGCCGCGCTGCTGGGCGCCACGACACTGGCCAGTGGCGTGGCCTTGTTCCAACAGCTGAAGGAAACCAAGGCACCGGCGAAACGCACGCGGAGGGCATCCAAAAACGGGTGGATTTCAGCAGAATGTTAAATGATTTTAAATGGGATGTTAGATGTCAGATATGGATGTTGAAATGGTGGTTTAATCATGGTTTAATATGGTTTCACCATGAAAAATGATGGTTTGATCATGGATGTTACCCTCCGGTGTCATCAAACATGGCAACTGGAAATGTCTATCACTGGAGGTTTCTAGCTGGGAAAATCATCCACAAATTCTGGATTTTCCATTGCCATGTTTGAGATGGGATGTTAAATATGGCTCTTCAATGATTTTAAACATTGTTAACCACTGTACATATGGGATAAAATCGATTTCAGCAGCATTCAGATGGGGGGTTTTACCCTCTGGTGATTTAACATCGACTGAAAGCATTCAGTTTTTTACAGGAGGTTCATCTTCCCCGAACTCATGGCAGGGTCTCTGATATTTTCTTAATCTAGGGGAGGGCAACCTCTATAAATATTGGATAGAACTGATAAGTGATGTTTGTTGGTTTCCTTTCACTCTAACAATAATATCCAATAATATCTACAAACAGCTATGCTAAATAAAAGCCCACATTTTGCTAATTATGGGGCACACCATCTCCTAGGGAGTTGTGATCAAACATGCTGGATTGCCGGAGTTTTGTTTCGATCTGGAGATAAAAAAATTGGAAAGTCTCTCAATGAAAAGTTGCAGCTTTCCGGAGTTTCCGGTGGACTTTTATGGATCTTGGTTGTGTTGTGACCGTATACGGATATCATCGGATATCCATTTGAAGTTGCAGTTTGCTCACTGTTTAGCCCCTCCACATGGCCTGAAAGATTTTGAAACCTGGTGTTTTTGTTTGAACCTCTCTGGCAGTGATGATTGTTTTTTTCAACCATCTGCAGCTCGTCAAGATCCCACAAGCTTCCCGCACAGGACCCAGTGCAAGCTTTTGAAACGCTGAAGACTTTCACAGCAAAGCCCACGACGGCCACGAAGTAGGTTGATTCAACCACGCTGCGACGCGAGTGGTGAGCTTTTGGTGCCGAGACGCCAAAGATTGCAACAAAAGGATCTGAATTAGTGTTGCAACATGTTGAGTTCAAAATATCATGTTGCTGACAGGATGTGTCGTTGCTGTTTGTGTACTTTGGCTCTCTTGGCACCCTTGGCCATTGAGTTGTACAGTGATTGATTTCGAAAAAGTAGGGCTGTCACGGTGCCACGACTTTCCACAAACGCCCACCACGGTGGAGCTTTGGATGAAATCAAAAATCTCTGGTGCATTTTCCCCCTTACCGTCACAGGTTTCTCCGATGTGCTGTACTTTGACCCCAGCGGAACGCGGGTTGAGGAGGCTGGGTCACCTGGGTCACGATGATTTCATTGACAGGTGACCCATGGGCCCAGTCCGATGTCAGGCAGCTGCCAGCAACTTCTTTTGCGTCACAAAGGCTGGGAAGTTTTCGATGCAAATCTTTGGGAAGCACTCAGCTGGTTGTGGCAGGATGGCGTATTGAAGACACCTTCGCTAGGCACCATTCTGTCCGGAAGCCCATGCGCCGGCTGGGATGGTTGGAAATACCAATCAGGTACTTTTGGATGGTATGCCTAGACCTCTGGCACATCATATGACATATTTAAGGGCTGCCGCCCCTGCCGCCGACCCCGGAAGAATGGTCAACTAACCAGTTTGTTTTCCGATTCTGTTGATTCTGCGCTACCGCGGTACGACCATTTATAAGCGGTTTCTCGATATTCAGAGTTCTCAGCCTGACGGGGGGCCCAAGGGATCGCAAGGAATCCCACGGCAAATTTGAACAGCAGGGTGCAATGGTTTGGATCCCTACTGTACTTAATTACATCTTAAGAATCTTATATAATACTGAATTCTTGTTGTTTTCTTTCATTTTATGATATTTCTTAGGTACGGATTCTTTTTTACTAAATCCCAAAGTGAAAGAGTGGACGCGTGCTGAAATATTCAGGATCGGCAATGTCAGCTAGTTAATAGCTGGACAGTCCATCAATTCCAATTTGGTTCCAATACTTACAATATCAAAATCTATCAAATTGTTGTTTTGGGGGTATCATCTTCCATTTTGAGACACATGCACCCCATTTCTTTTTTTTTGGTGTGTGTGTAATCAGCATTGGGTTTCTTTGCACCAATGGAACGGATGTAAAATGGTGAGATTTTCCAGAGCCAAGGTGGCAGCCAACCTTTTGGGTTTCCATAAATGGAGGATCCCCAATACTAGTAGCATCAATAGCTGAATGGTCTTTTCACGGAGAATCCCAATCTAAAGTGTTTTTTTTTCAATGGGGTACCCTCATTTACGGAAACCACCATGGTTTTTTTGAATGAGGGTTGGTCATGGCGAAATCGAAATCCGTAGGGCTGATCATCGAAAAGGATGATTTGAGCCACTTTTTCCTCCTTCTGCTGCTGCTGCTCCTGCTCCTGCTGCTCCCTCTGTTCAAATGGCAGCTCCCGGATGGGAAAACACCATGGCAGCGAAGGACGGAAAGGCATCAAAATTGCGCGCAAAAAGTGCCTAATGTAACTTCTGAAACCCATAGAAAACGATGATTTTCGCTACTTTGTCCTACGCACGATTGCTGCTGCTGGGAAAACACCATGGCAGCGAGGGACGGAAAGGCAAAATTGCGCCCAAAAAGTGCTTAATGTAATTTCTGAAACCTATAGAAAAGGATGATTTTCGCTACTTTTTCCTCCGCGCTATTGCTGCTGCTGGAAAACACCATGGCAGTGAAGGACGGAAAGGCATCAAAATTGCGCCCAAAAAAGTGCCTAATGTAACTTCTGAAACCAATCGAAAAGAATGATTTTAGCAATTTTTTCCTCTTCCTGCTGCTGCTGCTTCTGCTCCTGCTGCTCCTTCTGTTCAAATGGCAGCTCCCGCATGGGAAAACACCATGGCAGTGAAGGACGGAAAGGCAGCAAAATTGCACCCAAAAAAGTGCCCAATGTAATTTCTGAAACCCAAAGAAAAGGATGATTTTAGCTACCTTTTCCCTCCTCCTGCTGCTGCTGCTCCTGCTCCTGCTGCTCCCTCTGTCCAAATGCTAGCTCCCGGATGGGAAAACCTGCTGCTCCTTCTGTTCAAATGGCAGCTCCCGGATGGGAAAACACCATGGCAGTGAAGGACGGAAAGGCAGCAAAATTGCGCCCAAACAGTGCCTAATGTAACTTCTGAAACCCATAGAAAAGGATGATTTTAGCTACCTTTTCCTCCTGCTGCTGCTCCTGCTCCTGCTGCTCCTTCTGTTCAAATGGCAGCTCCCGGATGGGAAAACACCATGGCAGTGAAGGACGGAAAGGCAGCAAAATTGCGCCCAAAAAGTGCGTAATGTAACTTCTGAAACCAATCGAAAAGAATGATTTTAGCATTTTTTTCCTCCTCCTGCTGCTGCTGCTGCTTCTGCTCCTGCTGCTCCCTCTGTTCAAATGGCAGCTCCCGGATGGGAAAACACCATGGCAGTGAAGGACGGAAAGGCATCAAAATTGCGCCCAAAAAAGTGCCTAATGTAACTTCTGAAACCCATAGAAAAGGATGATTTTAGCTACCTTTTCCTTCCTCCTGCTGCTGCTGCTCCTGCTCCTGCTGCTCCCTCTGTTCAAATGCTAGCTCCCGGATGGGAAAACACCATGGCAGTGAAGGACGGAAAGGCATCAAAATTGCGCCCAAAAAGTGCCTAATGTAACTTCTGGAACCCATAGAAAAGGATGATGTTCGCTACTTTTTCCTCCGCGCTGCTGCTGCTGGCGCTGGTGTTGGTGGTGGTGCTGCTGCTGCTGCTATTGCTGAAAGAAGAGTACCAAAAGCACCTCCCGGTGTGGCAAAGCTACCACATCAAAATTGCGCGCAAAAAGTGCCTAATGTAACTTCTGAAACCCATCGAAAAGAATGATTTTAGCAACTTTTTCCACCTGCTGCTGCTGCTTCTGCTCCTGCTGCTCCTTCTGTTCAAACGGCAGCTCCCGGATGGGAAAGCATCATGGCAGTGAAGGATGGAAAGGCATCAAAATTGCGCCCAAAAAGTGCCTAATGTAACTTCTGAAACCCGAAGAAAAGGATGATTTTAGCTACCTTTTCCTCCTGCTGCTGCTCCTGCTCCTGCTGCTCCTTCTGTTCAAACGGCAGCTCCCGGATGGTAAAACACCATGGCAGTGAAGGACGGAAAGGCAGCAAAATTGCGCCCAAAAAGTGCTTAATGTAACTTCTGAAACCAATCGAAAAGAATGAATTTTAGCAATTTTTTCCTCCTGCTGCTGCTGCTGCTTCTGCTCCTGCTGCTCCTTCTGTTCAAATGGCAGCTCCCGGATGGGAAAACACCATGGCAGTGAAGGACGGAAAGGCATCAGAGTTGCGCCCAAAAAAGTGCCTAATGTAACTTCTGAAACCCATAGAAAAGGATGATTTTAGCCACTTTTTCCTCCTGCTGCTGCTGCTGCTCCTGCTCCTGCTGCTCCTTCTGTTCAAATGGCAGCTCCCGGATGGGAAAACACCATGGCAGTGAAGGACGGAAAGGCAGCAAAATTGAGCCCAAAAAGTGCCTAATGTAACTTCTGAAACCCATAGAAAAGGATGATTTTAGCCACTTTTTCCTCCTGCTGCTGCTGCTTCTGCTCCTGCTGCTCCTTCTGTTCAAACGGCAGCTCCCGGATGGGAAAACACCATGGCAGGGAAGGACGGAAAGGCAGCAAAACTTCGCCCAAAAAGTGCTTAATGTAACTTCTGAAACCAATCGAAAAGAATGATTTTAGCAATTTTTTCCTCCTCCTGCTGCTGCTGCTTCTGCTCCTGCTGCTCCTTCTGTTCAAATGGCAGCTCCCGGATGGGAAAACACCATGGCAGTGAAGGACGGAAAGGCATCAGAATTGCGCCCAAGAAAGTGCCTAATGTAACTTCTGAAACCCATAGAAAAGGATGATTTTAGCTACCTTTTCCCTCCTCCTGCTGCTGCTGCTCCTGCTCCTGCTGTTCAGAAGTTACATTAGGCACTTTTTTGGGCGCAAATTTGCTGCCTTTCCGTCCTTCACTGCCATGGTGTTTTCCCATCCGGGAGCTGCCATTTGAACAGAAGGAGCAGCAGGTTTTCCCATCCGGGAGCTAGCATTTGAACCCATAGAAAAGGATTTTAGCTACCTTTTCCCTCCTCCTGCTGCTGCTGCTGCTCCTACTCCTGCTGCTCCATCTGTTCAAATGCTAGCTCCCGGATGGGAAAACCTGCTGCTCCTTCTGTTCAAACGGCAGCCCCCGGATGGGAAAACACCATGGCAGTGAAGGACGGAAAGGCAGCAAAATTGCGCCCAAAAAGTGCCTAATGTAACTTCTGAAACCCATAGAAAAGGATGATTTTAGCTACCTTTTCCTCCTGCTGCTGAGCTCCCGGATGGGAAAACACCATGGCAGTGAAGGACGGAAAGGCAGCAAAATTGCGCCCAAAAAGTGCTTAATGTAACTTCTGAAACCAATCGAAAAGAATGATTTTAGCAATTTTTTTCTCCTCCTGCTGCTGCTGCTTCTGCTCCTGCTGCTCCTTCTGTTCAAATGGCAGCTCCCGGATGGGAAAACACCATGGCAGTGAAGGACGGAAAGGCATCAGAATTGCGCCCAAAAAAGTGCCTAATGTAACTTCTGAAACCCATAGAAAAGGATGATTTTAGCCACTTTTTCCTCCTGCTGCTGCTGCTTCTGCTCCTGCTGCTCCTTCTGTTCAAACGGCAGCTCCCGGATGGGAAAACACCATGGCAGTGAAGGACGGAAAGGCAGCAAAATTGCGCCCAAAAAGTGCCTAATGTAATTTCTGAAACCCATAGAAAAGGATGATTTTAGCTACCTTTTCCTCCTGCTGCTGCTCCTGCTCCTCCTGCTCCTGCTCTCTTCTGTTCAAATGGCAGCTCCCGGATGGGAAAGCACCATGGCAGTGAAGGACGGAAAGGCATCAGAATTGCGCCCACAAAAGTGCCTAATGTAACTTCTGAAACCCATAGAAAAAGATGATTTTAGCTACCTTTTCCCTCCTCCTGCTGCTGCTGCTTCTGCTCCTGCTGCTCCTTCTGTTCAAATGGCAGCTCCCGGATGGGAAAACACCATGGCAGTGAAGGACGGAAAGGCATCAGAATTGCGCCCAAAAAAGTGTCTAATGTAACTTCTGAAACCCATAGAAAAGGATGATTTTAGCAACTGTTTCCTCCTGCTGCTGCTGCTTCTGCCCCTGCTGCTCCTTCTGTTCAAATGGCAGCTCCGGATGGGAAAACACCATGGCAGTGAAGGACGGAAAGGCAGCAAATTTGCGCCCAAAAAAGTGCCTAATGTAACTTCTGAAACCCATAGAAAAGGATGACTTTAGCTACCTTTTCCCTCCTCCTGCTGCTGCTGCTCCTGCTCCTGCTGCTCCCTCTGTTCAAACGGCAGCCCCCGGATGGGAAAACACCATGGCAGTGAAGGACGGAAAGGCAGCAAAATTGCGCCCAAAAAGTGCCTAATGTAACTTCTGGAACCCATAGAAAAGGATGATTTTCACTACTTTTTCCCTTCTCCTGCTGCTGCTGCTGCTCCTGCTCCTGCTGCTCCCTCTGTTCAAATGCTAGCTCCCGGATGGGAAAACCTGCTGCTCCTTCTGTTCAAACGGCAGCTCCCGGATGGGAAAACACCATGGCAGTGAAGGACGGAAAGGCAGCAAAATTGCGCCCTATTTTAGCTGCCTTTTCCTCCTGCTGCTGCTCCTGCTCCTGCTGCTCCTTCTGTTCAAATGGCAGCTCCCGGATGGGAAAACCCCATGGCAGCGAAGGACGGAAAGGCAGCAAAATTGTGCCCAAAAAGTGCTTAATGTAACTTCTGAAACCAATCGAAAAGAATGATTTTAGCAATTTTTTCCTCCTGCTGCTGCTGCTTCTGCTCCTGCTGCTCCTTCTGTTCAAATGGCAGCTCCCGGATGGGAAAACACCATGGCAGTGAAGGACGGAAAGGCAGCCAAATTGCACCCAAAAAGTGCCTAATGTAACTTCTGAAACCCATAGAAAAGGATGATTTTAGCTACCTTTTCCTCCTGCTGCTGCTCCTGCTCCTGCTGCTCCTTCTGTTCAAATGGCAGCTCCCGGATGGGAAAACACCATGGCAGTGAAGGACGGAAAGGCAGCAAAATTGCGCCCAAAAAGTGCTTAATGTAACTTCTGAAACCAATCGAAAAGAATGATTTTAGCAATTTTTTCCTCCTGCTGCTGCTGCTTCTGCTCCTGCTGCTCCTTCTGTTCAAATGGCAGCTCCCGGATGGGAAAACACCATGGCAGTGAAGGACGGAAAGGCATCAGAATTGCGCCCAAAAAAGTGCCTAATGTAACTTCTGAAACCCAAAGAAAAGGATGATTTTAGCTACCTTTGCTTCCTGCTGCTGCTGCTCCTGCTCCTGCTGCTCCCTCTGTTCAAATGCTAGCTCCCGGATGGGAAAACCTGCTGCTCCTTCTGTTCAAATGGCAGCTCCCGGATGGGAAAACACCATGGCAGTGAAGGACGGAAAGGCAGCAAATTTGCGCCCAAAAAGTGCCTAATGTAACTTCTGAAACCCATAGAAAAGGATGATTTTAGCTGCCTTTTCCTCCTGCTGCTGCTCCCGCTCTCCTTCTGTTCAAATGGCAGCTCCCGGATGGGAATACACCATGGCAGGGAAGGACGGAAAGGCAGCAAAATTGCGCCCAAAAAGTGCTTAATGTAACTTCTGAAACCAATCGAAAAGAATGATTTTAGCAATTTTTTCCTCCTGCTGCTGCTGCTGCTTCTGCTCCTGCTGCTCCTTCTGTTCAAATGGCAGCTCCCGGATGGGAAAACACCATGGCAGTGAAGGACGGAAAGTCAGCAAAATTGCGACCAAAAAAGTGCCTAATGTAACTTCTGAAACCAATAGAAAAGGATGATTTTAGCTACCTTTTCCCTCCTCCTGCTGCTGCTGCTCCTGCTCCTGCTGCTCCCTCTGTTCTAATGCTAGCTCCCGGATGGGAAAACACCATGGCAGCGAGGGGCGGTAAGGCATCAAAATTGCGCCCAAAAAATGCCTAATGTAACTTCTGAAACCCAAAGAAAAGGATGATTTTAGCTACCTTTTCCCTCCTCCTGCTGCTGCTGGCGCTGGTGTTGGTGGTGGTGGTGCTGCTGCTGCTGCTATTGCTGAAAGAAGAGTACCAAAAGCACCTCCCGGTGTGGCAAAGCTACCAAATCCACACTGTTCACAGGAAAAGTCCAAACACAGGGGCACTGCGGCCGTCAATTTCAAATGGCAAATGGGACAATGTCTTATCACAGGAAAAGTCCAAACACAGGGGCACTGCGGCCGTCAATTTCAAATGGCAAATGGGACAATGTCTTATCACAGGAAAAGTCCAAACACAGGGGCATTGCGGCCGTCAATTTCGAATGGCAAATGGGACAATGTTTTATTCCCTGGCTTGCGTCTGCCGGGGTCGGCGGATTCCCTGGCGCGCTCCCCCTTGCGTCTGCCGGGGTCTGCTGCTGCTGCTGCTGCTGCGGCTGCTGCTGCGGCTGCTGCTGCTGCTGCCACTGCACAAAAACACAGCCACACGGCCCTGTAGTAGTAGTAGTAGTAGTCGTCGTCGTCGTCGTCGGCGTCGTCGTCGTCGTCGTAGTAGTAGTAGTAGCAGGAGTAGTAGCAGTAGTAGTAGTAGTAGCAGTAGCAGTAACAGTAGCAGTAGTAGTAGTAGTGCAGTACATCTTCTTCCCTTACGCGCTCCCCCTTGCGTCGGCCGGGGTCGGCGGATCTCCAGGAAAGCAATTTGAACTCCACTTATTTCAGATTTCACCCGGTGCAAAAACATCAACCCATGGCTTCCATGATGATTTTTCTCACCATGGTGAGATCCATGGGTTCCAATTGGTTCCGTCAGGGCCGGTGTCACCCGGGACACCATCCTGAAGCTGGCGCGCAGACTCACCTCCACGGAGAGCGGTTTGCTCACCTCCGTGCAGGCCTGGGAAGGGCCTGGGACGTTGACTTTTTCTGTTTCGATACCCCGGCCCAATCGCTGGTGTATTGGTGGTTTATTTCATGGAAAATGGTGGTTTCTTTTTATGGAAAATCCCCAAAATCCCCAAAATCCCGATTTTAACATGTCTATTTGGGAAATAGCATCCCATTTTTGACGGAAATCTCCATTTCTGGAGGTTCATAACATGCATTTTTCATATTGCTTTGGTGGAATCTGGAGGGTGCTGATGAAAATTCCATGCTTGGGATAAATTGAAAACAGAAACCAGATGTATTGATAGGTGGTTGCAACTGCGAAATTCCGCAGTTTGGGGTGATTTCCGCAAGAATATCTTTGAAGAAAACATGAATCAACTTCTTCATGTCTCAATTAACTCAATAATTTTTAATGTTTGATCCTGGTAATGAGATGATACATCCTAGTTGACTGGAGAGTTTTTCAAGCAACAACAACATTGCTATGATGATCATGATGTGTGTCTTATTTTGGACACAAAAATCCACAAAAATCCCACCGCTTCCCAGGAGACCTCCATCAGCTTGGGTGAAATCCTCGAAGCCCGGGAAGCCTTCGTCACCGGCACGGCCGCAGCCGTGGGATGGCCCAGCCACCGTGATGGCAATGTTTAAAGGGAAAGAATGTATAAATATAGTGAATAGATGATATTATAGTGGTTTGTTTTATGTCTAATATATATATATATTATTTATTTATTTATTGATAGTGGTTTATGAACCTTTCACTATATAGCGAAAATGTGATGAGTTTTTTGGTCACAAATGGATGGGAAAACAGTGGATCAAGGATAAACTGTGATGTTTATCAAACTCATGTCTTAGATCTTACCCTCTGCTAATTTAACGTAGCTATTGGAAATGGCCATTTATTGTTGATTTGCCCATTAAAAATGGTGATTTTCCATAGCTTTTTGTATGTTTACCAGAGGGTAACCATTAAAAACCTATCATAAACCCATGAATAGTATCGTTACCGACCCAGGTCACGCCCGTGGCACATGTGTCTTCTGCCACGGCCTCGGAAATGCCTCGGGGAAAATTGGGAAACACCATGGGATTTTGTGCGTTTTCAATGATGTTAGGATGGATTCTTTGAATTTTACTATGTTACACTTAAAATCCTCCATCTCCTTAATTTGGGGGAGTTTAGTGGTGTCTGTGAAACCGAGATTCAAACAATGCTGTTCCCCTCTTCATTTCTGGTGAAATCCTCACTTTCTCCGAAATACAAAAACAAAATGTTGGTCCAGTTGCTCCAAAACAATCGTCGTTCCAGTTGGTCCATTTTGGATCCGGATCCACACCGCCACCGAGGACGAAGGCCATGTGGATCTGGAAGTTCCTGGCCCGGTCACCGCGAAGCTGAAGGAGAGCGATCACCAGCCATGCTGTCGGTCAACTTACCATAACTTACTGGCCGTGATAGTGATATATATATATATATGTACAGATAGATATAGATATATTGTGGTAAATAATATAGGTATGATATAACTTATAACGTAATGATAGATATAGATAGATAGATAGATAGACAGACAGACAGATAGATAGATAGATACAAATGGAAATATACATAATAGATGGCCGGTATACTGAAATAGCATGGTAGATTACAGCCCACAACACACAGGTGGAAATATGTTCCCAGTATCTAACCATTGGTGCCAGTATGGGAATAGAATGGGAGCATAGCCTAACGGTGGGATACTGGATTTATCTGGTGTACATCCCATGGGGTAAGTGGTTGTGATGAAACCACCTCGCAGCCCAGATGGACTTGGCTACGGCAAGCAGTGGTGTTTTCAACCAGAAGGCCACAACCAAGACACGCATTTCCAGATCCAATTCCAAGGAAATTCTTCATGACTCATCAGTGATTCTCAATGTTTGTCAACGGCAGTTGAAAGTCTTGAAAGCCTACAGGTCGTGTTGTTCATGATGTTTACCGATTTTTACCCCCAGCCAAAGACAAGAGGAAACCCTGATTTTACCCATCGCAATAAACACCTCTGCGCCATGGCGGACGGCACGGTGGGCACGGTGGGCACCGTGGCGAAGCCGGCGCCGGCAACGGCATTGGAGCTCCTGATGCTCTGCTGAATGTGATCATTTCTCTGGGAAATGCCATTGGGTTTCCATTTTAGGAATAGAACAGCCCAGAGAAGAGGTATCTGAGTTCTTGAAACTCCCAGACAAGATCCTCACATTTCGTTGGAGCCAAGGAAGCCACCCATCTATTGGCTCTTCCACAGCTGGCGTTTGTTTGGATATATCGCCCTGCTGCCGCCCATGTTGGCGTACCAACCCCTGAAGACCTTGGCGTTGCTGGCGGCATACACCTCCGTGCATCGCAAAATTTGGTGGCAGAGAGGAGTTCACAGGAGCGCCAAGACCAAAAAACGGGGTGAAAAACTGAAGGGAAAAACAATCACGCGGATCCAGAATCCATCAGAATCCCATGTTTTTTTTGGAAAATGATAGGGATTCCCCTGTAGATCATTGGTAGAATCCCCCAATCATCAACCAATTGGAAAATGATGTTCTGATTTGAATTTGAGGAATCTCCCACTTTTGGACCATCGGGAAGTGCCACCCATCCTTCAGGATGTTCCAATTTGCGGCTGCAAAGACACACCGCTTTGTGAACGAGAATAAGCATTTGCTACTCAGCTGAATCAGCTGATGTTTTGGATCTGGATTTCAGGATCATGGATCATGGATACAGTGAGATTTGTTTTCCCCAAAAATTTTCCGAAATCTTGGCACTGTCAGGATCAAAGATGACAAGCGCTACCTCTGGTGCTTGCACCCTCATGGCCTTCTGGCAGATGGATGGCATGCCATTGTTGTCCCTCGGTAGATGTATGCTCCTTTAAAAACGGGTACGTTTAGAAATGGCGATACCTCAAAATCGCGATTTTTAATGAGTAAAGGGATGAAAATACAGTGAAAAAAACGCGTTTCGCTTTTTTTCGCGCAAACCCACATAGCGCACTTGAAGAGCATTGGGCAATCAAGTTGCTGCCTTGCATCCCTCTGACACTCCCATTATGTCATCAACAAAGCTTGTCTAAAAATTGGATACCGACAAATTTTCATGCATAATCATCATTATCCCCATGAAAATGATTTCAGATTGCCATTTCAGACTTCCCCAACCATGGAGAAGTGATAAACCGTGCCTATAGTGATAGCCCAGGCGTGCAATTTGGATTCCTTCGATGACAATGGCAATGGTCCTCCAGATGTTGGTCGGAAGATCGCACTGTGCTTTGCTCCCATCATTCAGCACGTGCCGGTTCATCAGGACTTGGACCAAAATTCCATGGCGTGTTATCCGGTCCATGGCGGTAATCTATGGTGGATGTTCCATTGCCACCTTTGATGAGTGTAACTCCAATGAAAAAAAGTGGTGTTATTTCTGCGGAATGCAGAAATTTAGAAGGGCGATAGGGTTTTCACATAACGGAAAGATCCCACCATTTTTAATAGGTAAATCAACTATTTCTATGGACCATTTTCAAGTTCGCAAAGTGTAAACGTTTACCAGATGCTACCCTCTGGTAAACGTTTACGTAACTATTAAAAATCACCATTTTCTAGCTGGGTAAATCAACTATTTCGACTGGGCCATTTTCAATAACTACGTTAAATTATTAGATGGTAACACCAATGATAAATCTTTGTCGAGGAGATGTACCGAAATCTCTGCTGCTCTTCCGATCGACAATCCATCGTGAGGCGCCGCGGATCCTTTCCGTTGGTCCCATCCCCGACCTGAAGATCATCCGACATCACAGATATCATAAAGGTATGCTAAAGGACCATAAATTATACATATATATATATATTATTATATATTATTATATATACATATATATTGTATATACATATACCATCTATTATGGATGATCAAGTAATTATAAGTATCATGAATTATTTTAGCATTGGATTCATGATCCAATGGATCCAATGGATTCCTTTTCTTCGACAGGTGGTGGAAGACGACAGAGGACACAGATCCAGCGCTGATCCCCGGTGGCTTTGCGGAAGCCTGTTTCGCCAGCTCGGCGGAGCGCAAGGCGGACAGATCGGCGGCCTGGAGGGTTGCTTTGGAATGAACTATGGGTAATGTTGGTTTATAGATGTTTATAGTGGGATATCTATGGTTTGTAGTGGTTAATACTATGGTCTATAGTGGGATCACTATGATAAATGTTGGTTAATTTGTTTGGTTTATAGTTGGTAAAACTATGGTCTATAGTGGATATAACTTAACTGTTCACTATGGTTGATGTTGTGGATATACCTAAAATATTAGAGGTGTCAAATGTACCCTCCTGAATAGTAGCAACCAACTGGATATATTTTTTACAACTATACTTTTCATGGGGTGAGACTAAACACTTAGTTAACTGTTGGGTTGATTTGGGGGAACATATATACTTAATGGGGTAACACTAAAACCAACTTAAGTTGTTTCTTCGAACATCTATGATTTTTCAAGCATACTTGGGATGCTTGGTTGAGATGACAAATATTTTTGGGATTGTTTTTAGAATAACTTATCAATGTCTGGCCATTTTGGGGATATATGAACTAAGCAGCCAGAGATTTTCACAACTCTTCGATGGAAATCCCAAGGAATTGGCGACGAGAGTTCTGCTGAGAGAAACACAGCTGTTGTCCTTGTGGGTTGGGATTTAACTCTGGGACACCCAAGAATTTGATGATTGATCTAGCTAGAGAGAAAACCTGGTTCTTCTACTGGAGAGGTAGGTCGCAAGATATGTGTTGCAAAAACCAAAAAAAAACAAACATCTCCCGTGGATATGATTCGCTTCTCCTGTTTGTCACTTACAAAGTTTTGGCTTCCCACTACGGCATCTAGGACACTGGGACACTGTGTTCTACGGTGCATGACTCCCCGCTCCCGCAGGTGGAGTATTCATACCTTAAAGGGCGAAAAGGCTTCGTGCGAATCTGCATCGAGGCGCGGTTGTGGCAATGATTAGGGATTCAAGATATATTTGATATAAAAGTCATGAGTATCAAAGAAGTCATCCCCAAAAAAAATATTTTTTAAAAAAAACATGTTCCAAGTTGTTTTTTGGGCCCGATTTCTCATCCCACTGTGACCATTCCACAGGAGGGCAAGGACATCGTCCCAGCCTACACCTTTCGTTGGGGCGCCTAAGAGGTGACCGCAAGGGAAACTCCATTCTTCTCGAATTTCCAGTGAACTCTATACATATATCATATATTTATATATTAAATTATAGATCATAGAAATATATATATATACATATGATATATATTTTTTATTTATTTATATATATATATGATATGATACAAATGTGTATATTATAGTATATAAGTTACTACAGAAGCAACTCAGGCTCATAGTGTGACTTCCACCATGACATCGCACTGTGGGGCAGAGATGCCACGGCGCCGACGCAGCGAGGTCTCAACTGGATGTATCGCACACCTCGAAGTATGCGTGGAGCTCGTGCCCGGTTGTCTCAACGGATCTTTGTACCTTGGACCGTGGCCGGTGGCCAAATTGGAGGAGAAAGATATGGAAAGTATATGGAAAGTATATGTGGAAACATGGCATGGTTTTTCATGGCTTTTCATAGTGTTTCCATTCGTGTTATGTTAGAAATGTTCTTTTGTGCTGATGCAATGTGCTACTCTTGTCCTTTTGTCCTTGTACTCCAGGTGGGTTTGATCCCATTCTTTGGCTACATGGGAAGCTCCATGCCATTGCACGAGAAGACAACCACTGTCACTTGGCGATCATGGGGATCCCCAATGGTCACCGTTGTTTCAAGAAGTCATGATCTAATAACTTGGATGGGGTGCCATGACGACTGGGAAACCCCAGGACGTGACGTAGGTCTTCACATCTCCAAATATCAACTTTTTCGGTGGTGCGACACATGAGATGCAGTTTCGCAAGGGTATCAGGGAGTTCTGTTGATTGTCTCACAATATCTGGGAATTCAAGACACGAGTTGTTGCTGTTGTCCCCATGTTTGGTTCTTGAAGTCCCTCCAACCAGATCAACCCTCAACACCACAAGCAACGCAAGAGTTGGGTGAGTTGGGTTTCCTCCAATTCATGGCCATGTTGGATCATTCCAGATCAAGACCTCATTTCTCCACATTTGGATTCGGTGGAAATATGTGGAAATATGTGGAATATTCCCCCCAAGTCCCCGGGATTTTCCCGGCAGGTCGTCTTCCCTCCCTTTGAAGCCTCCAGTTATTCGGTGGATCAGGTGGATGAGGCACCGGCGGCCAGCGATATTGTGGGGTGGAAGCAACAAGTACAGCTACTAGAAACTGGTTGGTGATGTGATAACTGGTTGGTTAATAGTGATGGTTAATAGTGGTTAATAGGCTATAAACCAACATTAATATGGGAATATGATGGTGATGTGGCTGGTGGTGACTGGAACATGAATGGATTATTTTTCCATGGATTGGGAATGTCATCATCCCAACTGACGAACTCCATCATTTTTCAGAGGGGTAGGGCTCAACCACCAGGAAATTTGATGATCTTTTTGGGGCTCCATGGGACGCTTTCCGAATTGGGGATGGTTTCATCTGTCATACTGCAGATTCGCTAGTCACTAGCACCTTCTGTGGGTCCATTGTTGAAGTGGAATAGACTGTTGAAGTCGATTTTTGGTTGGGGCTTGGTATCAAAGACGATATCGAACCCGATGAGTGTGAACATAAAGTCTTCGATGATGTCTTCACTTCACTGACAACCACTTGACATTAATGATCTTACTTTGGTTATCTGTGGTTTGCAGAAAAAAATCACTGTGGTTATCTAAGTGAAGCTCTGCCGAAGGCGCATGAAGCCTACATGGCCCATTTGAAGAAACACTTTGATCTCAACAAAGCGAAGTACGGAATGCGAGATGTGGAGATGGTCCCTCGGAGAACATCCCGCCGATTCCGGACGATGATTTGAACTGGATTCCAACCCCAAAAAGTGCAGATATCAGTGATATCTACGGTATCACCTGAAAGTTTGGTCTAGTTTTGAAGGTTTGGTCTTGCTTTACAAGAGTTTCTTGTTCCTTGCGAGGTTTTTGTGGGCAACGATTTCCAAGACGACGACTGGGCAACCCGTGCCTTGCAAAGTCTCGGCATCATCAAGAAACTCAAGCAGAACGCCCAGTCGCGGCCGCTGCGGTCCCGTCTCTGAGCGCCACAGGTCACGCTAGATGCGTTGCGTTGCTAGCGACGGTTGACCTTTCAGCACGCAAAACAGAAGATCGGAACTGATCAGACAAGTCCATGGGTTGGAGTCGGAAATGGTTTTGGGAACGAGATGAGACACATTCTGATATGAAGATGTTTCCATCAACCCACTGTTTTTTGATCACCCAAGTTCCGTTGCACCACCAAAACAATCGAACTTCCAGCCCTTCCCCTACATCCCGTACCACCATACCACCCCAACGTTTTAATGCTCCAAGTGCCGTGGATATTCTGTGGATTCCATCACATCCCAAAAAAAAGGGATCATCTCAATATCCGAATATTCCGAAGTCGAGGTGCTCACTATCTTCCTGGTGTCCCATCAGCTCAGAACCCATCACAGAAATCGCCCGTCGCGACGTCACGGTCTGAACTTGCCATGCTCCGCCATGGCATCCGCTGGGCTCGTCCTGGCCGCTGGAGCAGCACGGTGACGCTGCGCTGGGCCGATGGGGCCTTTCTGCCCAAGTACCTGCGGGAAAACACCATGGACGCCGGGTGAAAAATGAGATACTTAAATTAGATTACTTAGTCGTACTTAGTCATACTTAGTCTATCTTCTTGAGTTGGAAATTTAGGTTTTGGAAGTGTGATGAATAACAACTGTGGAAGATGTATTGAAACACATTGAAACTTCAGGCCGTCTTGCACCTCAGGAAGCATGGGACAACAGCTCGAAGCAACGACTCGACTTTGGCATTCCCATGGATTTGTGCGTCACTGGCATCTCACTGGAGACTGTGAGCTTGCCAGTCCTTTGATTTGATGGTCAGATGTCAGTGATGTCAGACCCAGTTCGTTCATTAAGAAAAGATTGAGATACTTGTGATATCTTGAGATATCTTGGTCTCCGAAATCCCCAAAATCTGGAAATTCTCGTTGAAAAGATTGCTTCCCCATCTGAAATTACCACTTCATCCCAAAAGGAAAGCTTTTGGCGACATTTGCGACAGCTGGGCCCATAAGAATTTTTTGTTGAACAACAGTGAATGCTTTATACCGCAACCCGCAAAAAAAAAATGGTAAGTTTTTTTTTCTGACCACGGTTTCCGTTTGAGATCTCTTCAAATTCTCACTGTAAATTTTCAAATTTAACTTGCAAATATTTTTTCTCCACGTTTCAGAACTTCTGGACTGAATGTCCTGGGTCTTTCTGCTGAAAATGCAAGATCACTCACGCAGAAAAAAATCGAAGCTCCCATTTCGATCCAAACAATGATTTTTTGTTGTTTTCTCCCCGAGGACTTCTCCGGCCCAGCCTTTCGTCTGCAGTTCTCGGATGGCCACGTGGGGCACTTCCCGGTGCCGCGGCCACAGCGGAGCATGTGGTCGCAGGAGCTGCAGCACCAGAAGAAGCGCGTCACCTGGGGCGCGACGGAAGCGTCCAACATCCAAGAGGAAACCTGGAAAAAAACCATGGAATCCATGGATTGGGAATGTGTTTAATTTGTTTGATGATTTTGGAGATTTTCCAGATTTTGAAAAGGTTGAAATAACTCCAGTCTTTGTCACCGAATGTCAACGAGTTTCCTTGTCACTTTGTTGGATCAGATGATCAGCCAATCGAAGGAGCTGACCTCTGGTTCTTTGCACTTCAAATGGCAGGATTTGCAGTCAGACTCCACCAGATCTACTGCCAAGCGGTGGATCGAAGCCATGCACACGCATGGGGTGGCGATGGTTTCAGGCCGAGTGCTGATGGTTTCAGGGTGGGAGGAAGTGTCGGGAAGTGTGTGTTTTTCTGCGACTTGATGCGGTTTCAAGTGATGCAGAAGAATGCAAAATATGCAAAGTGCCATCGACAGAGGCAGGGAGTTGCTTTGTGGTGTATAGAACTGTGAACGTTGAGCAGGAATGCCGACCGATGAGAACATCATGAAAAGATTCTCTGAGACGCTGGGTACCTATGTGCTGCCCAGTGTTTATGGAGACTTGGTGCTGTTTAGTGATGGAAAGGAATGATATGTCACCTTATCATATGTTTTTTGGATGTATCACTCTCATGTCAATACTGTGAAGGATTAAAGTACTGATGATGATGATGATGATCATCATCATCATCATCATGGTGGTGATCATCATCATCATCATCATCATCATCATATCATCATATCATCATCATCATCATCATGGTGATCATCATCATCATCATCATCATCATTATCATCATCATCATCATGGTGGTGATCATCATCATCATGGTGGTGGTGATCATCATCATCATCATCATCATGGTGGTGATCATCATCATCATCATCATCATCATGGTGGTGATCATGTTGATGTTACCCTTGGTTCATATTGGGTTGCCGCGGTTGCCGTTGCCGCCAAGGAGAAACCTTCCAGATCAAATCGGTCTGTGATCCCAACAACTTGGCATATTCCAATTTGGGGCTTCAGATGCACACGGATTTGCCCTTCAACGCGCAACCACCTGGCATTCAACTCTTCTTTTGCATGCAACAGGCGCCGCCTTGGCGATATTAGTGATATTTGCGAACAGTAAAAATGGATTAAAATGGATAGTGGATAGCTTGTATAGATGACAAGGGACACATCGGACAAATTCTTGGCACTGAAAGCCATCCAAGAAAGGGCCTTGATTTTGTGAAGGGAAAGCTGGAAAATACGTGTGATGGATGTTGATCCATATGGATCCACGACTCATTTTAAGCCTTTTGGGCCTCAGGCTGATGAAGGTGGCGAGTCTATCGCTATGGATGGTTTTGCTGCTGCCGAGTCCTTGTACCAGCAGGACCCCCAGGTGCCCAAGACAGCACTGTCATCTTCCTAGTACCCCCATAGTAATCGAATAGCTTAGATTCCTAGATGATTCTTAATCAATGAATTAAGCATGGATGAAGAATGAAGATCATATAAACTAACCTTACTTGGTGTAAGCCTTGTCGTTTGAAGATTCTCTGAGGCGGATTGGCGAAATCACCCAGGAGTAGAGATATTATCCGCATACGATATGATCACAATAGATCCACAAGATGTATACACTGTATGCTACATACTATACATACTATACATACTATACATACTATACATACTATACATACTATACATACTATACATACTATACATACTATACATACTCTACATACTCTACATACTCTACATACTCTACATACTATACATACTATACATACTATACATACTATACATACTATACATACTATACATACTATACATACTATACATACTATACATACTATACATACTATACATACTATACATACTATACATACTATCCATACCCTGCATACTCTGCATGCTCTGCATACTATCCATACTATCCATACTATCCATACTATACATACTATACATACTATACATACTATACATACTATACATACTATACATACTATACACACTATACAGACTGTACATACTATACATACTATACATACTATACATACTTTACATACTGTACATACTATACATACTATCCATACTATACATACTATACATACTATACATACTATATACTATATACTGGATACTGCTTACTACATACCATATACTATATACTACATACTACATACTGTATACTACATACTATACATACTATACATACTATACATACTATACATACTATACATACTATACATACTGTACATACTATACATACTATACATACTATACATACTATACATACTATACATACTATACATACTATACATACTATACATACTATACATACTATACATACCATACCTACTATACATACTATACATACTATACATACTATACATACTATACATACTATATGCTATATACTGGATACTGCTTACTACATACCATGTACTATATAGTACATACTACATACTGTATACTACATACGATACATACGATACATACTATACATACTATATGCTATATACTGGATACTGCTTCCTACATACCATATACTATATACTATATACTACATACTGTATACTACATAGTACATACTGTATACTATATGCTTCTACACTACATACTGTATAATATGTACTACATACTGTATACCATGTACTTCTACACTACATAGTGTATACTATGTCCTACATACTTTACACTGTATACTACATAGTATATACATGCTATATTATATATATATTACATATTATATCTAGAAATATGTTCATAGATCCATGGCAGGATTTTGTAGCAACTGAGGCATTTGAACTTCTTTGTGAGCAGCCGCTTCTCTTCCAGGATGTGACCAGCGAGTGGTTCCTCTCAGCCGAGTGTCGTGGCGGTATACCCCAGCCATCCCCAGCCATGGTAATGGGATGTAATGGGTACCATTTGGTTATTTAACATAGCCATGGAAAATCCCTTATAAATGGAGGTTTCTGGCTGGGAAAATCATCTATTTCTATGGGCCATCTATACCATGGCTATGTTAGTCATAACCAGAGGGTAAAATATGGTAAAATGGGCCATCCAATGTTTTGGGTACCCAATTTTGGGAGCCGATTTTCATGGATCATCTTAGTAACTGCTTAGTGGACTGACTAAATCAACTTATAAGCGGGATATCCTTGGCTTCCTGACAAGTCACTGTATAGGATGATCTTCCAGGTAGGGAAAACATCTTCCAACAACACTATATTTGTGGTGTCCATGTTAGTTTTTTCAGGTGTAGACTAACAAGATGAGGGAAACATGTACCTATTTATTTTTGGAGGGGATGTTTGAAATTGGTTCAATTTGGTTCAATTTTCAACCACAAAATCTGTGATTTCTTACGAATCTTTGCAGCAGAAATCCTAGGCATCCAACCTTTGAGCTTAATGGGGATAACGCCTCTCCAATGACTCCGGAGCGTCTCCATCGCTTGAACTTCAACGAACGAACCAGGGATGCTTGACAGCATTGGGCAAACTGGCGCAGCAATGCGCAACAAAATGTTCGTTTAGTGGTTGAAATCAAACAATAGCTATTAATTATATAACCTATATAACCATTATAGATAATATAGATACTAAACATTAATTATTAGTGAACCAGCACGACTTTCATGTCCCCATCATGTCTCAGAACAGGATTCCTGGCGCCAATGGAATCCTGACAACTTGCAACAGACTGCCGAAGTCTACCAGGCGAAGAAAATGGACTCCCAGTCGTCGCCCCACTCGGTTTGAATCTCTATGGTTCATCAATGTTAAAAAAATCATTTCCCAAGCAGAATTGCCATTTTGGAATGTTTTGGAGGATCCCCCATTTTTGGACACGCCCGCAAAGTTTCCATCTCAGTTTTTGTGGAATTAGCAAAGCTTGATGAGCTGCATTAGATTTTTGTGACCAACGAAGAAGAATGCTTCACTGAGTACAAGTTCCACAAAAAGTTCAATGTCTTATTTTCGACGGATAAGTTGAAAATGTTTTCAGGGAGACGACTCCTTAATTTTTGTTTCATATAAGTTTGCCGGATAGATATTTGAAATTATTTGAATACATGCCTAGATTGGCAATCAAACCGTTGGTTCGACGGATGATTTAAACACGTATTCTTTTGATTCACGTCTGCATCAGGCATTGCAAAAGTTTGAACAGTTGGTGGAAGTGGCTTGGAGCAAGACCGAAAGCACGTCAGTTTCCATGGCTAACCCGCAGAGATGGGGCGACATGAGAATATCATGGAATATGCCTGAGTGATATGAATACGAAAGGTACATGGCTTTGCCAAGATGTGCTGTTTACGGCGTCAAGTGGTCATCCAAATAGCATAAAGTTTAGCCCAGGAGCGTTCGCGGTATGCTTCCCTCCGTTTGATGCCGGGAGAGATGATTTGTACCGACAACTGGCGGGTGATGCATTCACGGTCCAGCTTCCTTGGCTCGAGGCATGAGGTTTCCAGTGGGGATAAAATTCATGATGGAAACATACGGAAACTGATGGAAAAACTGATGGAAAAACGTTCGTTTTCTTGGATGATTTGGTTGATATTTTTTGTTGTCGCCAAGTTCAACAGTTTTGGCCTCGCCAAATCTAGCCAGCTTCATGGACGTTTGTTCAAGGGTACACTTGCCAAGGTCGAGTTCAGTTTGGGATCATAAGATGTCGGCAATTTCGCCAAACTTAAGATAGATTGAGATACCAAATCTGCAAAACAAAAAGACTTAAGATATCTTAAGATCATACATAGTTTTTTTTCACATGTAATCACGGTGGGAATTCTTTCACACCCAATGTACCATTGGATTACGGATGACGGGATACTTCGTGAAGCCTGGAGGCACTTCGTGGGTGCCTACTTGGATTGGGATGCCGTGCGTGCGCGTTGGCGAACCCTCTCCAGCATTTTCCAGAGCCAATGGAATTCACTTCAGAACTGAGTGACCTGGTCGGGTCCGAGAAGGGTGGCCTTTATATGCTCATTATATGCTCATTATGCTCCTTATATCTCATTATTATGTAATATTCTATTTAATGAGCTTGTAATCTGCTTCAATGGCTTTAAAGACCGTGTTACTTGCGCATCAACTCTTTCGTCAGGGTCAATCCCGGCCCAACCAAATCCACAGTTAACAGGAGACTAAAAACGCTGCCCCAAATCCAGTAGAAGTTCCCTTAGACTCACTTGATCCGAATTCCGAATAGACTGACTTGAATATCTTGAATGGAATTTTTCAAATGATTCCTTTAAAACTTTAAGATTTGGTTCACCCAAACCATTTTTATCCCGATGCGTTTCCTATCTCAGGTTTGCCCTGTTGCCCTGGTGGCAACGGCGTCAACTGGGTGGTGCTCTGAGCATCGTTAAGTCCTGGTGGCGTTTCCGGTTGTGATGGCTGATGATGGCTGTTGGCTGTTAGATTGGGCAGCCATGCAGCTATGCCAAAGTGCAGATGTACAGAAAGATCCAGAAACTTCGTGACTCATTGATAAACGAGGAATGTCAACTGTCATCGCAGTGGGCGGAACCCATTCTCCCATGGATCAGTCTTATATGTCTTATCTTTCGGAAACAGATGGTTTGTAAATGTTTGTTGTGTTTTTTGTGCCTGTTTGTACCGGTGCTCTTCACAGGAGACCTTCCAAGAGTTGCAACAAGAGCGCGGGCCTTTTGTTAAAGGGGCTGGGTTGTGCCTTTGTGAAATGCTGAAGAAATGGGATTTGAAATAGCTTGGAAACTAGATGATTTGAATTTTGAATGGATTACATGGATTTGAATTGTTCAAGCGACCGTTGAGCAGTCAAAAACTGTCCATGACCTGAGTGATTTCTCGCCGGCAGCAAGATAAGGCTAGATTTGCGAGTTCCCTCAGCTTCCCCGACCTTCGTTCATTCGCCTGCCATGGCCGAATATTTGTCCGTTGGAATGAAGCTCCACGCCATGTACGGAGCCGATGGCGAATTCTACCCCGCCGAGGTCGCCAGCCTCTCGACCTCGGCGAAGAAGAAGAAAACTCCTGTGCCTGGGATTCCACCGAAGATTTCGCTTGAAACGCTTCTGTAACGCTTCCGAAAATTTGGATCCCAAAAGTTGTACCAAATGGCTGACACATTCTAGAAATGTTCGATTTTTCTGCAAACATTTGGTCTCAAAAGATTGTGTGGCGCTCTTGAGGGTCTGGATTTAAGCAGTTTCAGCATGGTTCAGCCAGTTTCAGCATTTCAGTTCAAGCCGGTTTCTCTCAGGTGAAGGTCCACTACATCGGCTATGAGACCACTGACGATGCCTGGGTGAGCTTGGACATGTTGAAGTGCAAGGCTCTGCCCAAGGACAAGAAAGCTGCAGCTCGGCTCCAAGGACACAGAAATCCCCAGTTTAATGAACCAAAAACTCGCTGTCAAGCCTTAAATTGTCTATTTTTGTGGATTGCCAAAATGGTGGTATAGCAGATATGTAGATGATAAAGACATACATATACAATCATATACATATACATATACAAATACATATACATACACATACACAATGTCAATCACTAGATACTTTTATGTATATAATGTAATATAATGTAATATAATGTAATATAATGTAATATAATGTAATATAATGTAATATAATGTAATGTAATGTAATATAATGTAATATAATGTAATATAATGTAATATAATGTAATATAATGTAATATAATGTAATATAATGTAATATAATGTAATATAATGTAATGTAATGTAATATAATGTAATACAATGTAATACAATGTAATACAATGTAATATAATGTAATATAATGTAATATAATGTAATATAATGTAATGTAATGGAATGTAATATAATGTAATACAATGTAATACAATGTAATACAATGTAATATAATGTAATATAATGTAATATAATGTAATGTAATATAATGTCATATAATGCAATATAATGTAATATAATGTAATGTAATGTAATATAATGTAATATAATGTAATACAGTATAATATAATATAATGTAATATAATGTAATGTAATGTAATATAATGTAATATAATGTAATATAATGTAGTATAATGTAATATAATGTAATATAATGTAATACAATGTAATACAATGTAATACAATGTAATATAATGTAATATAATGTAATATAATGTAATGTAATGTAATATAATGTCATATAATGCAATACAATGTAATATAATGTATTGTAATGAAATGTAATGTAATATAATGTAATATAATGTAATACAGTATAATATAATATAATGTAATATAATGTAATATAATGTAATATAATGTAATATAATGTAATATAATGTAATATAATGTAATATAATGTAATGTAATGTAATATAATGTAATATAATGTAGTATAATGTAATATAATGTAATATAATGTAATGTAATGTAATATAATGTAATATAATGTAATATAATGTAATATAATGTAATATAATGTAATGTAATGTAATATAATGTAATACAATGTAATACAATGTAATACAATGTAATACAATGTAATACAATGTAATATAATGTAATATAATGTAATATAATGTAATGTAATGGAATGTAATATAATGTAATACAATGTAATACAATGTAATACAATGTAATATAATGTAATATAATGTAATATAATGTAATATAATGTAATGTAATGTAATATAATGTAATATAATGTAATGTAATATAATGTAATATAATGTAATATAATGTAATATAATGTAATCTAATGTAATCTAATGTAATATAATGTAATATAATGTAATATAATGTAATGTAATGTAATATAATGTAATACAATGTAATACAATGTAATATAATGTAATATAATGTAATATAATGTAATATAATGTAATATAATATAATATAATGTAATGCAATATAATATAATGTAATGTAATATAATATGTATCATGTATAGGTGTAACTTCGGTGTACCATGTATATCCCGGCTGAGGCTCCCGCTCCGGCGAAGGCCACGAAGGGCACCAAGGCCGCCGCCGCTCCGAAGGCTAAGGCCAAGGCCAAGGCCAAGGCCAAGGCCAAGCCTGAGATGGACACTTTGGCTGACAAGATTCCATTTTTTATCATGAAAAATGATGAAAAATGTGGATTTCACTGGAAAAAAGGTTGTCGAACTATGGTTTCACGAAAATTTATTGGGGAGATTTCATTGGAAAACAGTGGATGTGAATGGGATGCATAACCTATCTAATATGATACATAGCTCTACCTGAAAATGAGCTATACCCGTCGTTGATGACCATTCGATTATTAGAAAGCGGATGGAACCGGCCCAAGTTTGAAGTCGAGCCGTTGAGCGCCAAGGACTACTCTGGACTCACCAAGGGGATGCGACTGCAGGCTGAAGCGGATGGCAAGTACTGGGCAGCTGAGGTTCCTTGGTCACGGGGAATATCCTTTGCTCCCATCGTTCTGATATGTTTCAGTTTGATCGACCAAATCTCAGGAATTCTCCGTGGATTTGGATGCCCGATCAAAACTTGATCGCGTAATAGTTTGATCATGTTTGGTGCTTGTTTTCCTGGCCCTCCGGTGTGACTTCGGATGCCCAGGTCGTGGTGGTTTCCAAGAAGAAGAAGGACACGCCTGTGAAGGTCACCTTCATTGGCTACGACAAGCCACTTCACCAGAAGTGTGGGAAACCTACCACCCCCAATTGGTCCATCAAAATCACAGCGGTTCACAATCTTAGCATGGGAAATTTACTAAAGATACTAAATATACCCATCGGCTTGGCTATGATTTATTTACATTTATTTACATTTACGGTTTCTGACAAGTCATTGGGGATGGTTTATGGTTCATGGGGATGTATCCCACCGTGAAGTATCACTGGGGAATGAGTTGCTTCGCAGCTGAGGCAGTACGATGAATGGCTTGGAGCAGATCGCCTCCGCTCCAAGGCCATCATGCCAAAGTCCAAGGAGGGAAGCAAGGCCGCCTTCGGTGCCGTGATGCCTCAGGCAGCCAAGAAGCTCCTCTTGGTGAAGCCCAAGGTGGGGACATGGCGGCAAAACTTGCAACTGGATTGGTGGCCATAAATTCTTGGAAACAACTTGGAAATGCTTAAAGATGTTGGATTCCAAAATTTGGAGATCAAACCACCCGCGGTGTGCCTTACAACTGAAAACCTGAGGTGAAGGCACCTTTGGACCCTGGCTTCAGTCCCTTGATTTTGGCCAAGCAGAAGTACTTGGAGGCTGCAAAGGAGTGCAAGGCGGGCTGAAATCGGTGTGGAATTGGTTGTACATGTTCTGCTGTAAACAATATTCATGTCGTGGCTCACATGTTGTTCCGTTCGGGGATTAGTCTGATTAGTTCATGACCTCCGCTGTACGTGCTCAGGACAAGCTGACTTGGGCCTTGCCTCGTGCTGACGGCTGCGGCCGTTACTCTCTTCCAGTCTTTGCCGATGGCACCAGGGAAGCTCGCGCATCTGCCTATCTTGCAGGCACTGAAACATACAGCCACCATGTGGATATGCAGATAGGTTTCTGAGAATCTGGTTGGGTCAGTTGGTTTACCCATTTTACCCATTTTGCGAGAGGTAGGAATCAGCAGGTTTGAAGAGGTTGTTTCATTGAAAGTTCTTTGTGTGTACCTTGCATGGCTTCCATTTTGGTTGTTATTTTGTACACATTAAAGCCGTAGCTTTCACCTCCTGATCTTCATCCCCACATTCTCCCATCTTCCCAGTGTTGCCCGGATGCCCATGCCCATCGCCACTCTCCCTTTGTCGCAATATATCACACTCTTCCTCACCCGCTCTCAAGTAGAATCAAGGGATCAGGTTAATATGTCGTTAATATGTTAATCAGGTTGCTGATCCATAAGGGATTTGAGGAATGGTCCAATCCAGGAATGCTGCGCTCCAATCCGGTGCCTCCAGGCATTCTTATCCAGGAGATGATTTGGCAGCGCAGTGCCGGAAGTCTTATCCTCCATGGCCCACCGAAGATTTGCAAATTCATCGAGAAGTGCTACTCTGCAGGCGGAAAGTTACGCTTCGACATTTCAATTTTGTACTCAGGACATCGGATTTTTTTTTCAAGTAGCAAGTCATGTTTGACATTAGGTTACATTAGGTTGTCAGATTGTCAGATGATTTCAGGTTGTCACTGAGCCTCTGCACGTTCGGAGGTGGTGCCTATGAATTCGAAGTGATGTCCATGCCCAAGGTCTGCGGAACCCCCGACAAACCCTTCGAGGTGAAAATCGTGGAGAATGAGTCGGATGTCCCGGAGGCCAAGGACACACCACAGGTTTGCGGCAAGGATGCCAACGGCTGCCGTTTGGCCTTTGACCTCGGCAAGAGTGACATCAAGACCGTGGCTGTGAAGGACAGATGAGAAATGTACAGAATATAAGAAATATGAGAAGAATCAACCAGAGAAGAACGAAAAATGTTGTAACAATAATTCCATATGTTTGTTTCTTGGTCAAACAAGAATGCAGCTCACAAGTGGTCAGACTTTGCCGTAAAGGTTCTTTTTTGTGAAACAGCGTCCAGGACAACGAGGTGGTGTATTCAAAGGAGACTGAGTGGGATGTCACCAATGCAGACCCACAGTACCACTATGATGCAATTCTGGCTGCTCTCAAGCTTGCCAAGGACACACTCCCCAAGGTGGAAAAACTCGACCAACTTGACCCAACACCCCAATCCATCCAAATCCCAGCATTCAGACCGGACATAATTTTTGTTCGAATTTCAATCTCAAAGTGATTCCTTTTTTCAAGATTTCAAAACAACGGAGATCTGTGAATGTTGAGGTGGATGCCATTGGTGGAAGTGCTACAGGAACCGTCTCCGCCTTGAACGAGGCAACTTGGTGCGACATTTTCCCCAACGTGCCTCCTGATGTCTACAAGGCGAAGGTGGTGGACATCTTCATTCGCTTGGGAAAGGACCGTGGATCACCATCTTTTCCAAATAAAGATGTATGATTATGGTAGACTGGCATTGTCATGATTGCCAAATGTTGGCAAGATCGCTCCAAATTGTGATAGCAAGTGATTCGGTTATTTATGTGATGATATATGATGTTGCACGTGGTACATATTACAAAATGTCAGAAGGAGCAGTTGTACCTGTGTTTCCCCTGCGGAAGGTTGAGACTTGCTCTTGGTTCGGTGATCGTGCCAACCTTGTTGTATGCTGCATGGTTTGCATGTGAAATAGCATTTTATTGTGACGTTTCATTCTGGTTTGGTGAGTGTTTCTATGATGTTGTGCACACAAATTGTTTACATTTTGTTTACATTTTGTTTACCTCTATTGGAAAGATCAGTGTCTATCATGTTTGCTGTTGGTTATGGCGATTGTTTCACGCCCTTGTCATGCAAGTTTTGGGCAGTGTTTAAGAGATTAGTTTGCGTGATGTTTTGCTGGTTGTTTCATGGTCTTGTGATTGTTTCATCGATGTTGTGTACTGCATGTGTTGCCAAATGTTGGAAACAAGATGCAACCCACGAACCCGAATGCTCACACGTATGTTAAGGGTGATGATGTCGAAACATATGGATATGCAGTCACGCAGACCACTTTTCTGCAATAGTTTATTTGAGCAGTCTTGTACATATTTCCCCTGTTATCAGTCTGCAGTGTGGAGTGGAAAGTGTAGAGTGTGGAGTGTGGAGTGTAAAGTAAGGAGTGTGGAGTGCAGAGTGTAAAGTGTAGAGTGCGGAGTGTGGAGTGTGGAGTGTAGTGTGTGGAGTGTAGAGTGTGGAGTGTAAAGTGTAGAGGGTAAAGTGTGGAGTGCAAAGTGTAAAGTGTGGAGTGTAAAGTGTAGAGTGTGGAGTGAGGAGTCTCAAGTGTAAATTGTGGAGTGTAAAGTGTGGAGTGTGGAGTGTAAAGTGCAGAGTGTGGAGTGGGGAGTGTAGAGTGTGTGGAGTGGGGAGTGTAGAGTGTGTAAAGTGTGGAGGGTAGAGTGTAGAGTGTAAAGTGTAGAGTGTGGAGTGTGGAGTGTAAAGTGCAGAGTGTGGAGTGTAAAGTGTAAAGTGTAGAGTGCAAAATGTGGAGTGTGGAGTGTAAGTCGGAAGTGTGGAGTGTGGTGCGTAAAGTGTGGAGTGAGGAGTGTAGAGAGTAGAGTGTAGAGTGTGCAAAATGTAAAGTTTGGAGTGAGGAGTGAAAAATGTAAAGTGTAGAGTGTGGAGCGTGGAGTGTAAAGTATAGAGTGTGGAGTGTGGAGTGGAAAGTGTAGAGTGTGGAGTGTTGAGTGTGGAGTGTGGAGTGTAAAGTAAAGTGTGGAGTGTAAAGTGTGGAGTGTAAAGTGTAGAGTGTGGTGGGGTGTGGAGTGTGGACTGTCGTGTGTGGAGTGTCGTGTGTAGAGTGCGGAGTGTAGAGTGTGGAGTGCAAAGTGTCAAGTGTAAAACGTGGAGTGTAAAGTGTGGAGTGTAAAGTGTGGAGTGCAAAGTGTAAAGTGTGGAGTGTAAAGTGTAGAGTGTGGAGTGAGGAGTCTAAAGTGTAAATTGTGGAGTGTAAAGTGTAGAGTGTGGAGTGTGGAGTGGAAAGTGTAGAGTGTGGAGTGTGGAGTGTCATGTGAGGGGTGTGGAGTGTAAAGTGTGGAGTGTGTAAAGTGTAGAGTGTGGTGGGGTGTGGGATTTGGAGTGTAGAGTGTGGAGTGTGGAGTGTAGAGTGTGGAGTGTAGAGTGTGGAGTGTAGAGTGTGGAGTGTAAAGTGTAGAGTGTAAAGTGTGGAGCGCATTTTTGCTCCAGCCACACAAAAGAACTTTCGACACGGTATAAAGCAGGTTGGAATGTCACAAAGTGCCGCGCCTGCCTTGCAAAACGACATGACAACTTGCTTGGACACCTTCGAAAAGGAAAGGTTTTGCAGCTTCCCCCATAGATACGGCGAGGCCACAGAAACACCAAAGACTCGAGACGAGACACGTGGGAGCATCAAAACGAGCATTTCGTGCGAGACCTCCTCCAATTTTGACACTTTCGACACCTTATGAAAGAGGTTGGAATGTCACAAAGTGCCACGCCTGCCATGCAAAACAATATTACAACCTGCTTGGACACCTTCGAAAAGGAGAGGTTTTGCAACTTCCCCCATAGACACGGCGAGGCCACAGGAAAACCACAGACTCGAGACGAGACACGTGGGAGCATCAAAACCAGCATTTCGTGCGAGACGTCCTCCAATTTGCACTCTTTGTAGCTTCAAAATCGACGTTTTCCCACGAGTTTTCTTAGGAACCTTTAAATTTGCTACCTCAAAATCGATGTTTCGTGCGAGGCTTCCGTCAATTCTCAACACATCTCACAAAATGCCACGCCTGCCACGGAATCTGCACCGTGTCGCCACTTGACGCAGCCCTGCCAATGCGATTTGCAAAAAAAACACGCACCACGACACGTCGAAAGTGCTGCACCTGCCACGCCAAATGACGATGGACACGTCCAAAGTGCTGTGCCTGCGACGAAAACTGCAACGCATCTTCTAAAAACGTCGCAAAATTATTGCGCCTGCCACACAAAACGATTTTCGACACGTTACAAAACACGTTTGAATGTCGCAAAGTGCCACGCCTGCCACGCGAAATGCAGCAACGCGACGTTTGAAACAAAAAGGACCGCTTCTGCAGAACTTACCATAGGCACGGCCATATAGCAATCGCGCGGACGGTTGCGGACGGTTGCGAACGTAAACGCAACGTCGAGCGAACACACCCTCAACCCCCAGACCCCCAGAGTGAAACGGGAACCCTTGCTACGCATTCGGAAAAAAGGTCACTTCCTATGATGTTTGCTGCGAGTGGAGTGATTGTTTCTATGATGTTGTGAACGACTATATACTGTATGTGTTGCCAACATTGGAAAGATTCGTTGCCAGCATGATGCTTGCTCGCCGTGTGCTCATTGTTTCATTGGGTACTGCAAGGGGGTCATTTGCTGATTGTTTGGGGATTGTTCCAATGGTTTTGCGTATTCCATGAGTTGTCAAACTCTTGAAAGATCAATTTATGTTCGAAAGAAGTTTAGAAGTCAAACTTCCGACAATGTGGACAGATGAAAAGCAGAGCTGGGCAGGGGCAGAGAGAAGAGAAGAGTAGAAGAGAGCAGATCAGAGAAGAGAAAGAGTCAGAAGAAAGAAGATGCAGATGCGCGAAAAGGTAGGAAAGTCGCGATACACTGTGTTTTTCCAATGATTTGTGGCTCCGGAGGGTCCAAAAGTAGGCTCGCTAAAGCGGCTGGTGCGGAGCCATCTGGCCAGATGAGAGATGAAAAAGTGCACGCCGTTGTGGCGCGAAGCACATTTGTAAGTGCAAAAGCTAAAAACACTGCACGTTCGGACCACTTTTGGAAGTTGCGACGTCGAAAAAGTGCACGCCGTTGTGGCGCGAAGCACATTTCGAAGTCAAAATGTACAAAACACACCAGGGTCGGACCACTTTTGGAAGTTGCGATGTCGAAAAAGTGCACGCCGTTGTGGCGCGAAGCACATTTCGAAGTCAAAATGTACAAAACACCACATGCTCGCGCCACTTTTGGAGGTTCAGATGTCGTTTCGCATGGCAGGCGCAAGGGATTGTGCACCTTGTCAAAAGTGAGCAAAACGTGAGGGTTCTGTCGCGTTTCCAAAAACCATGGCAGGCGTGGGACATTTGAAGAGGATCTGCAAAGATGCATTTTCTGTGGCAGGCGCAGTACAAAAGACATGTTCATGAGAGATGTTAGGAGGTCAGGGCGCTGCTAAGATGATTTTGCGTGACAGGTGCAGCACTTCGTATGACCTGGCATCAGTTTTTCGTGGCAGGCGCAGTACTTTAGACAGGTGGAGTGGAAAAATCGCAAAACGCATTGGTACGAGGCCGTCAGCGCTGCACTCAACTTTCGATTTTTGAAGGAAGTCTTGCAGAATTGCTTTGCTTTTGATGTTGTCATGTTCAAAAATTGAAGAAGTCTCGCAGAATTGCTTCGTTTTGGATGTTGTAAAGTTCAAAAACTGCAGAAGTCTCGCAGAATTGTTGTGTTTTTGACGTTGTTAAGTTCAAGAATTGAGGAAGTCTCGCAGACTTGCTTCGTTTTCAAGCTTGCAGATACACAGGTAGATAGATAGACAGACAGAGAGAGAGATAGATAGATAGATAGGTAGGTAGATAGGTAGATAGATAGATAGATAGAGAGATAGATGGATAGATAGATAGATAGATGGACAGATAGATAGATAGATAGGTAGGTAGGTAGATAGATAGAGATAGATAGATAGATAGATAGTAGGTAGGTAGAGATAGATAGGGATAGATGGAAAGATTTAGAGAGAGATAGATAGATAGATTGATAGATAGATAGATAGATAGGTAGATAGAGATAGATGGATAGATAGGTAGGTAGAGATAGATAGGGATAGATGGAAAGATATAGAGAGAGAGAGATAGATAGATAGATAGGTAGATAGATAGATAGATAGGCAGGTAGGTAGGTAGATAGACAAAGAAAGAGAAAGAAAGAGAGAGAAAGAAAAGAGACCTCAACCACCTGTCGGTCCATCAGTGGCTTCGCTCTGAATCCGGGATTCACAGCAACCAAGGTCTCCTATAGGTTTCCTATTTTTGAAACTTCGGCCACCGCCTTGTGCGGTACTACTGGTATGTTATGTTGGTTGTTTTATTTCATGCACTTGAGGTTTAGTATTTTTTGCATCAAACAGGACTGGCACTCTTTGACTTTAGATGTACGTGTGGGTAGTTTTGCCAGGAGATTGCTGGAGACGTTCCTTTGAAGGTCATCAATGATGGAGAAGTCACTGCCTTGGCAGCCGTCCAGAAGATCAAGGCTGGCAACGTGATGGGTATCTCCATGGGTAGCAGCGAGGGTGCTGGAGTCTCGGTGGTCTCGGTGCTTTCAAAAAAAACAGTTAAAAAACAACGGTGTTTTCCATGGTTTTCCCACTTTTCTTGTGAATTGATGTCAGAATCCAATATCAAATCACAGCCAAGACTAAGAGCCAAAACATTGAACCACACCCACAACACACACAATCAAGACAAGGTGGGTTATCCAGTATTTCGATCCTTTGGTCGTTTGACTCTGTTTTTCTTTTCGCCGAGGATACGCCAATGCCGATGGCAATTTGATGGGCTGGATCAGCGAGTTGTGCTACTGCCGCATTGACCTCAACCCCAAGGCTCCAACTGATCCATGGTCCAAGGGCGCCCACAGGGGCCTCTCTCACATGTGTCTTGGAAGCCCTGGTTGAGCATTGGCTGTTTAGCATTGGTTCATATTGATTCATTGGTTTGTTGCTGATACATGACGAGTTGTTGATGAGTTGTTTGATGTTTAAAAGTTGTGAATTGGTTGTTACATGGTTGCACCTGCACAACGTGGAACAATGCAGGTACCTTGGACAACGTGGAACTACCAAGTTGGCAGCCAAGGGCGGTGTGGAAGTGCCTGCCAACTACAAGTACCCTCATACTGACATGTGCACCATCAAGCACGAGAACCACGCCCAGTGCCTTTGACACATTGTGACACATGGATGATAGGGTTTATTTGGCTCACAGATGTTCACAGCGTCTGATGCTGGTTTCATCTCTGGACCAAGGTTCATAGTAGTGACTATCGTTCACCCCACAGTCGTGTCCAAACTGTCCAAACTGTGCAGGTGCCTGAAGTTGATTCAGGAAGCCATGAAGGGTGACAAGGCAGATGAGGTGAAGAAGATCTATGAGACAGTTGGCACTTACCTCGGCTACGCCCTTGCTGGCTACTGCGAGTTCTATAAGATCGACCACGTGATGATCTTGGGCCGTGTCAGTAAGGGCAAGGGCGGAGATATCATGCTCGATCAGGCCAAGAAGGTGGGAACAGCAGCAGGCAGCATGGAACAGCTACCGACCTGTCTTTTCGATTCCATGTTTTGCTTTTAGTCGCTGTTGTAGTCCCTTCCCCCGGTGAAATACCCTTTTATTGGCCCCGAAAGCTATTAGATTCAATACCAAACCACTGTTTATGGGAGGTATATTCTTAAGGAAGTGAATGTAAAGGCTTGCTTGCCTCCCTGCTTTAGAAGCTCTTCATATTTACCACCTTCAACTTTTGTAGCATCCACAACAACTATCTTGTCAGCATTTTGCAATGTTTGTGTGTTCAAGAGACTGCGTGTTAAGATATGTCATCAGGCTTTCTCATGTGTCCAAAATCAAGATTTGTGAATTCGCTTCGCAGGTTTTGGAAGAGGAGTTTCCTCAGTTTGCTCACATCAAGTTCCACACGGCGGACGACCACTTCAAGGCTGTGGGGCAGTGCATTGCCGCTGCAGCTTTGCCAGAGCTCAAGTGAGGAAGTGACCGAAGTGACCGCAGCGTCACTGAACACTGAGCCGTATGAGCCGCCGAGCTTTCACCGCAATGGGCACTGGCTGACAGATGTCTTCGCAACAGCCAGATTTTTCATTGCATCTTTCAAGAAGTTTTTCCACTGTTTCAGCGGACGGCAACTGATTCAGTTTGGATAGACTATTGCTTTTGTGTACAGGGGCAGTGCTTTGCCCCAATTCAAATGGAGCAGAAACTCTCACCAGCATGAAAAAGTCGCTGCGTTCTTCCACCCATTGACAACTTGGAAGTTTTGGTTCATTTTGGAACCCTCACATTCCACGACATTGCAGTAAATTCCAGGCACACCTAGAAGTCAGCAATTTGGGAGTCATGCTGATGGCCAAGTTCATGATTTCTTGAAGTAAAAAATTGATTTGGGACTTCAGGTTGGACAATCTAAAAGGACTCAATGGTCCTTCAACATACTACAGACAAGTAGAGGAAGCTACAAGCTCCGCATACTTTTCTCACTTTTGACACTAAGTGATTGAACTCTGCTTGCATGGCAAGCATCGGCTGAGGTTGCAACCAGATGAAGAGAATTGGCTTGTTGATGTATTTGCTTAGGCGCGGGACTATCGCCTAACCGCTGTTTTTCGTCCTCGAGGAGTCGATTTTCAGGGATCATCTCCCCGGAGTCTTCATGAGCCAATCGTTTTTCAAACATCGGAGCCTTGTAGGTTGTTTACAGGGAAGGAATGCTTTCCACATTTGACAGGTCTACATCGAATACAGCGCTGCGATGCTAACGAACATCCTGCAAAAAGTTGCCGTGGAAACGTGAAATATGGAAGTCGGCAAGGAAGTCCACTTACAAGACGGCGGCACCCGCTTGTGCAACTTTATAACCTTAAGGGTCTCGGCAAGTTGAAGACTTAGTGAGGATCCTTTGTAGGTTTTCCTGAATGTGGAGCGAACTATTTTTCTTGGGAGGGTCTAGGGGTGGAACCTTGTTTGCAGCTTGTTGCCGTCGACTTGCCTCTAATCGTGAAAGCAAAACATGCCATTTTTGGGCCCTGCTCGAAAGATGTGCACTGTTAAATGCGATTAATGTATTTAGATTGTGAAGTGAACAGTGCAGAGTGTAGATTGTGAAGTGTAAAGGGTAGTATATGGAGTGTGAAACGTACAGTGTGGAGTGTGAAGTGTAGAGTCTAGAGTCTGAAGAGTGTAGGGCGTAGAGCGTGA